GGGCAGAGGTTCCTCACAGCACAAGTCCTGGTGTGTGAACATGCTGGCTGGTGGCTGCTCCAAGGTGGCAGGAGACTGATTTCATTTGTAAAATTGGGGTCAAATGTTGGGTTTTGAATTACTTGCTTGGTGCATTTTTTTCATCTTATATATCTTCAACAATGAGTATGTAGGATCTTAGTTTTTAGCTAAGGGGCCAGAATCCCATACATTACCTGTTTGTTTGTTTGTTTGTTTGTTTGTTTTTAACAAGGGAATACCTACCTCCAGCAGAGCAGGGCATGGGCCAGGGCTTGGAAGAACAGGGGCCAATGTAATCCAGCAGCAGCCCCTCCTTCCACCTTGCCTTTACCTTCCCACGACAATTGGCTCCAACCAGCTCCCACTGGTGTGAGCTTGTGCTGTAATAGGTCTCAGAGGGGAAATGGGCTTTTGCAGGCTGATTAGAAGTGAGACGCTCTCCTTGCAGTAGCCTGCCCGCCACATCTGCCTGCCTGGGCCTCCCTCTGGGTGTGTGCCTTGCATTGCTCAAAGGAACCCTGGCCATCGGGAAGAGGCCTAGTGGGTGTTAGCCAGCATGGTTGCTTGGCAGGGGAAGGAGAGTCAGGGATCCTGGCGTTTCCCTTTCATTTGTGGCATTTCCCTTGGGTCCTGGGGCAGTCTGAGTCCTTTATTGACATTCTGTGCGGAGTCCAACTGGGAGTTCCTAGGACGGCTGAAAAGCCAGGTGAGCGCCGCGGCTGGCCCCCAGGAACTGCACGCGGGTCCCTCGGCCTGGCTGTCTGACCCTGTGACAGGAGCACGCCAGGCTGGATCGTGCAGCTGCTAAGGCAGGAAATAATTGGACGGTCTTATCGGCTTCAACACAGTTGTTTATTATCAGAGGCCACTTTTCTTAGAGGAGCCTGTAACTAAAAGATTGGGAAGAAGAAGGTAATTTTTAATCAACCAAGTTGAAAGAGAAGTACTCTCCAGAGAAGCTTCTGTACAAACAAATACCCATTTTGCTGTCATGTCCGTGGGGCTGCTGCTAAAGTTGCAGTTTGAGGAAGGAGGTTGATCAGAACCCAGGAGGATTAAAGAAACAAGCTTCCAGGAGAGGTGCCGTCTCTGCTGTTCGATTGCTGTGATTAAAACGCCAGGAACGGTGCCTTCAGTCTGCAGCAGCAGGGAGGTGGGAATCGACACAGGACCTCGGGGGCCCCGGGCGCAGCGGCCACGTCTGCTGTCCTGTTTGTCAGTGACTAGGTTGCCTAACTGAATGCTCTTGACACTCCGACGGCCACATTGGCCATGAGTGGCCAGCGTGCAGCCCCTGCCTTGCTGGAGTCGAACAGCGAAAGGCAGCCGTGGCCAGATCAGCAAGGCCCTCGTTTGGCTGATGGTTGTTGGTAAGCCCCCTTAATACCCACCCCCTTGGTGAGTTCCCTCTCTCTTACTGTTGCCCATCACCCTGCCACATCAGCCCTGTGGACACCATGCTGCAGCTCCTGGAAGGGCTCCGTGGGGTTCCAAGTGTGACGAGGTCTCTATTCTCCCCACTTCCCAGGAGCACCTGAGCCCTGTTTGGGTCTGGCTGAAGTAAGAGGAATTCGCAGGGGTTGAAGTGTTTGGTTTTTAAAAGCTGTTGACAGTGATGTTTATTTTAATACAAGATGGTACAAGCAGAAAGCCAGTGGCTAGGTGACAAGTACATTGAGGGACCAGGTACTGGGTGGGCCAGCTGGTGGAAGCCTCTTAGGCTGCCCGTGTGAGATGAGCTAGCCTGGTTAGGAGCCCTCTAGGTGTGTTGCAATGAGAAGGTGGCACAAGTAAGTGTTGATTATATCAGAGGATGGCAGGGAGGGGACACTTGTTCCCTGACAAAGGAAAAGTGATCAGCTCTAGCTCCAGTGAGTCTGAAATCCACCTGCTGTCTATTGCCGAGTTCCATGTGTATGGAAGAGGCTTTCTAGTAACTTCTGCTTTCCCAGGTGTTAAATCGGGAAGCAAGCTGTGTATAGAGGGTTGATCACCAGAGATCAGTCCCACCTTATCAAATACAGACCATAGTCATCCTTTCTCCTGTTTTGTAAGAGAGCTCCGGCAGTGCCTTTCGAGTCCAGGCTGCCCAGGGTCTGACCTTGGGGTCTGACCATGGTGTCCAGCTGGAAGCCAAGGCACCGCCCACAGGTGCTGGGACCAGGGTGAGAAGCCGCCCTGGAAGCTGTCGTGTCAGGCTGAGGGCAGGCATGTTGAGCTGTGTGTGGCCTGGGACTCCGTGTGGGGAAGGATCTCACTCGTGGAGCAGGGTCTGGAGACCGCAGTGTGTCAGGAGGATTGAGGCAGAGAAACGCTCATGGGAAAGAAAGATGCTTCGTACAACCGCCCCGTGAGAAACACAGACGTTTAAGAAAATTAAAATAGGTTTGGAAAAAATAATACTGTGAGATCCTTGGCCGTTAGCTGGCAGAGCGGGGAGTGAGGCCTGATGGGTAGGAGGCCTCAGGCACTCAGTTTATGGTGAAGAACCTGAGACGGTGAAAAGAGTTAGCCTAATCACATAGGAAAAACTGGAGAGACAAGGTGGGGGGCACGTTTCAGATTCATATTCACAGAGCTTCCTACACAAAATAATAAGATCCTCCAAATGTGACAGAGGGCCGTTATTGGTTAACGGAGACTCAGTTCTGTAAGTTGTAATTATCCAGCTTATAATATTGTCACTAGAAGGGGCTTACATTTAGATACTACTTAGCCAAAACCGGTTTGGCTCAGTGGTTATAGCATTAGCCTGTAGTCTAAAAGGTCCCGGATTCGATTCCGGTCAAGGGCATGTACCTTGGTTGTGGGCACATCCCCAGTGGGGGGCATGCAGGAGGCAGCTGATCGATGTTTCTCTCTCATCAATGTTTCTAACTATCTCTCCATTCCTCTCTGTAAAAAATCAATAAAATATATTTAAAAAAAAATAAAGATATTACTTATACAAAGCTTCATGTTTTCCAAATTTCAAATGACAATATTTATTACTAAAAGGAGCAAAGTTTTTCCTTAATCTCAACAGTGTCCCTTGCTTTCAGATAGTGAAATATATAGTAATGGTCTGATTTAAACATTCATTAAAGGAAATTATTTTCATTTTGTAAATAACCAAGCTATTTTTCCAACTAAAAGAAAAAGGCCGAGGTAATGTTTTTAGCTGCTTCATTAATAAGAAAAATCAGGACAGTCAACATTCCCTTTTGTCAATGCACAAAATGATTGCAGAGTATTTGCAAACAGTTCACATGCACATGGGAAAAAGGTGGAAAAAAGGAAATGCAGATGGAGACAGATTTATGTTAGAGTTCATTCACTAAAAGGCAACCACATCAGGGTCAGTGGTTTCATGTCTAGTGTGAGGATGAGTTTCACGCACTGCTCACCTGAATGGGGGCAGGTGTGTGGGTTTCTCATTGAGGCTAGAAATGGTGATGGTGCAGATAAGCAGGGTCCTGCTGGAGAGTGTCAGGGTTAGCCCAGAGTTCGGAGGCATGGGCAGATCAGTGGTCAGGACACGCTCGCTCCTGTATAAGCCACCGAGTGTGTTAGGGCCAAGTGCAGACAGGTGAGAGTGCAGGCCCTGCTGCTCTGATGGTGTTCGTGACCACGCTAAAGGACAGGCTCACTCAGAGGCCCAGGGGGAGAACCCGGACCCAGGGCCGTGGGTGCCCGAGTAGCCTGCAGGGCGCATGCGCAGTGCTGGCCCTCAGCGCCGATTCCTTCCTCCCGATCCTCCCACTGTCTACCTGGCCTGGCCCGGCCCAATGTTTGCGAAGCCCGCACGGGGCAGATTTCTCCTGACCCGCCTTCCAGGCTCTCATAGCGTGGTGTAGGCGTCATTCATGGTATGTCTGCCCTGTTGGAACTGATAACATTTAGAGAGAAAGAGAAATTCTTGAGCTGTGTAAGTGCTCTAATCTTAAGGGACTAGAACTTAACCACGCCTGCATTGGGTGTATCAGGTGCCGACCTCTTGGGAAGTAGCCCTGGCTCCTGACCAAGGGCCCAGGGGTCCAGCCAAGACCAGTCCACCGTTCCTTGGGGCCTTCTGCCTTCTTGGGTTTGAGTTGCTGCTGTCACCACATCACCAAGCAGTGGCAGCACAGCTGGAGCCCTGCGTCCATGGCACAGACGTAATGGAAGGGCAGCAGGAGAGGGTGTGCACTGATGTGGTGGCAGGCCTGGGAAGCCTGGGGCCTGGCCCCGTGGCGTCGGCGCACAGTGAGCTGTGTGTATCAGGCAGAGGTGTGGTGGGGCAGCCAAGTGAGGTAGGTATGTGAGGTCTGCCGCTCTCCCCCAGCCCAGCTCGCCATCCCCCCAAACCTCAGACCTGGGCTCACTGCACCCGACTTCCTGTGGCAAGCTCACGTCCACACCTTGCTCTGCCTCTGGTTGCTGCCTGCTTCTCTGAGGTTCAGGAGCACATTTACACATTTATCTCAGGCACTTCCACGTTGGGATTTCATGTGGAAGCAAACTCCACAAACAGCGTTTGTTCTGTGAGTTGTGGGGAACAGTTAGCCATCTTCCAGAGCATTGCTTCCGTCTCCCACAGGGGTGGTCCCCCGTTCAGGCACCACGCCCTGCTGGCTCCCTTCTGCACTGGGCGCTCCGTGCCAGCACCTCCTCCCCTGCCTCCCTGAGCCAGTGCCAACCATCACGTGTTTCAGTGACTGAACCTTTGTGCTTCCATAGTTGTCAGATATCTCATAGAGTCGGTAGTTCACATGGTCCAGGCACATGGATACACTGTACAAATACAGCTTTTTTATTTTCAATCAAAGGCAACTGCACTTTTTCTTTTAAGGCTGAGTTAGGGACACTTCTGGACACTCAGGACAGGCCGTTTCTCTAGTGTTTCCTTACTGATGGTCTTGCCTGACTGGCCAACCCTGGCCAGAGAACAAAACTAGCCAGACACCTTATGTTTACAGACAGAGCTTCACCCTCATACCTTCTTTCTCTTGATCCTGTTACTTCACTTTTATGCTTAACTGGGAGCCAAGGCTTGTCCGAGGCAAGATTAAAGATGACTGGTGTTCCCATTATCATGACATTGAGGTGTTTGTCAGCGATACTCAATACTGTCGGTTGATTGTGAGGGTCAGGCAGTACATTCAGCTGTGGAAATCGATGTCTTAAAACCTAGTAGGCACCTTCGTGGTAACTTTCTGAGATCAAAGGCAAGAAAAAAACGGGAAGACAAGACCTATAAAAGTTAAACTGAGCTTCCTGTAGAAAAGGTTTGCATCTTCCACCCTTCGTGTTGGAAAGTGTCTTATTGTGCATGTGAAGATGAAATAAGCAAGTGCCCCTGGAGGAGGCCACTGGGGGCATCCCTGGGAGCACCCACTGGGCTGCTTGGGTACAGGTGAGAACTGCCTTACAGGAAAACCCTGCCCAGAGAGAAAATACTGGTGGTGATTGTAGACACTTGGGTGTTTTTAAAGAATCAGAAACCTGCTGAAACCGGTTTGGCTCAGTGGATAGAGCGTTGGCTTGCGGATTGAAAGGTCCCGGGTTCGATTCCGGTCAAGGGCATGTACCTTGGTTGCGGGCACATCCCCAGTAGGGGGTGTGCAAGAGGCAGCTGATCAATGATTCTCATTGATGTTTCTAACTCTCTATTGCTTTCTCTTCCTCTCTGTGACAAATCAATAAAAAAAATATATAAAAAATAATAATGCTTTGCTTTATTAAAGAAAAAAAAAATCAGAAACCCAAACTAACAAAAATAGCAAAAAATGAGACCACTGTTTGATTCACTCCCCCAAATACTCCTCTTGAACAAGTCCTCTGTCTTGTGGCTCTGAACACCTCCACCAGCTCTTGGGAGCGCCCTTTTGTTGGGGGGGGGGGAGGGGGACGGCGGCGCATGACTTACTGAAAGGGAATAAGAGCACCCTGATGTCAAGGCTGGGGTGCCAGTTGTTAGCCAGGACATGGGCTGCTCCATCTGAGTGCCCAACAGGCCCCAAGGGGAGTCTGCACTGGTGAGACTCACTCTTCTCTTGGGTTTAGTGCATGTTGTAAAGAGCCCGTCATCCCACCACCAGAGTATTGGTTCATGCCATGCGCCATGGCATCTCAACAAAGACGGGAGAACATTGATCGTTGGATGTGCACTTCCTAGGAAATCGAGTCAGAGAGTCTTTGCATTTTCATGACTCTCCTCCCTCTCGAATGACTTAGGCAGTGGGCTTTGCATTTCTGTGGCTGCACTGATTTTTTTCTGTATCAGCCTCATCTTTCTTGTTATTTTGGCTTATGTACTGCAACCTCATCTCTGTCTTTGGGGAATCTGTGTGCTAATGATTACAAACCTTAGAATTCAAAAGGATGGACGAAGGGGTTTTTCAGGGGCCTGAAATCATCCAGGTATTGTACAGACACGAAGCAGACTTAAAAGCACAAATGAACCGGTGAGCCATCGGCACAGACATGTTGCCTGGTGACTTTAGAGTAAGGTGTGAGTTCTGGCTCCCAGCCTTGGACGGGTGAGGAGAGGTGGGAACGGGGTGGTGACTCCTTCTCCCATGACCCAGCCTAGCATCTCAGGTATCTCAATTTCTCTGCTCCAGGTTTTCACATCCAGAGCTTGTCAGGAGAACTGGCTCACAAGGTTGCTCTGGAAATAATTAAAACTTGTCAGTGCTCTGCACCAGTGGGGACAGCCATGACCCATGTCTGTTTTCCCCACAGCCCCATGGTTCCTTGTTGAATTCAGCACACACATCCACAAGGATCTGCATGAGAGAAGCAGGTCAACTGACTTGGCCTCGAGTTAGGTGACTGGTGCACCATCGGGCAAACTTGAGGTTCTGGGCAGGTAGGCAGAGCATTCGGCCTATCTGCAGGCATGCTGCAAGGCAGCCTGGTCTTTAATCACACTGGAACAATTAAAAAAAAAGCTTTCTGGTCTCTCCAACCCAGTGTTTTGGTCTTGGTGGAATCTACTTGGAATTCACTCTGCATGCAGGGAAATGGCTCTGCCCTCTGCAGGTGTGGGGGCGTGGTGGGGGTGGGGTGCAGTGGGGAGAGGTGTTCATTGGGTTTTCACAAGTTTGTGATTGGCAGCTGGACTAGTGATGGATATATCTAGTCATGAAGCCACTACTGCTTCTGTTGAATGACATGCACTTCTATGCTGCTGCTTTTATGCATCTAACAACCTCGTGGTGTTTGCATGTAAATATATAAACCTGCGTTTGTAGGTACCATTTTTGTCATGCAGTTACTGGAATGTACAAAAAAAATCTGTAATCTTGACAAAGAGTTGCAAATAGAATTATAAACCACATATCCCAGCATGATGGTTCTTAGAGCTGCAAGGAGCAGGCATCTTTATTTGGTTCACTTCAGGTCTGCAGCAACCACTTGATATTAAAAAAGGGGAACGGAAAATAAGATGTACAAAAAGATGTAATATCCCTTTAGAAAGCAACATTATCAGAAATGTATTTCCTACGGATCCTCCCTCCCTTTCCCATGTCTCCACTCCCCCAAAAAAGACCCCAACCTAAACCAAAATGTGAGAAGGAACAGGGATTGAATCTCTAACAGAAAAAAAATAAAACTGAATTTAACTGGAACATGCTCTAATCTTTAGTTTATTTCTGGTTAAAAATATAGCAATCCAGTGCAGTGTAGTAAAGAAATCTGCTTGAAAGGTAGCAGAGAAACAGCTAAACATAAGCAAAGCAAGGCAGAGTCATAGGCGGGCTGTACCCAGGACGACTGTGGGAACTCACTGTAAGGACCTTCCCAGTTGTGAGCACAGGGGGCCTGGGTATGGACGTGCCCGTGGCCCCACAGACACGTCCATACCCGCTGGCCGGGCTGGCTCGGGCTAGGACCATAGAGCACTCCAGCATTCTGGAGAAGGCAGAAACACCAGGAGTCTGTGTGTGCGTGGCTGAGAGTTGTGTCACATATTGGGGGAGATGGATATGCAACGATTTCTCAGGAATTTTTAAGCCACTTGGTTTCAACCACATTCTGTCCTGGGACTAGAGCAGCTCCGGAGACTGAATGAGGCATCTGGGAAGAAGAGGCATGTCTGTGGGGGAAGTTGCAGGCACAGGACAAAATGAAACTCGTGGGCTCAGTGACGTGGGAGAAGAGGGTGTCATGAAAGGGCTGCGGAGTCTGAAGGGACGTGGGAACCTGGGTACCTGTCCTGCACAGTGAGTGCAGGAAGGCCGAGCTGCAGCCCAGGCCTGATGGCCAGGGCCGCACTGCTCCCTGCCCTCCGGCACCAGCCCCGCGCCTCTGCAGGCTCCTGGCGTCCGCAGCAAGGCTCCCCTGGGCCTGGTGGGAGGGTGGGGAGTAGAGAGGGACAGCAGGGAAACGAAGACTTCGCTGTAAGACTCGGTGTGGGACCTGGCCTTGCAAGGGAAGCCGTGGAGCAGTGCCGAGACAAGGGATCTGTTTTTTTGGGAAGAGACGAGAAGACAGACCTCTGCAGCACAGATTTAAAATAGAAAAAGCCCAGGCTGCTGCCAGCCAGGATAGGACACCCTCTTCCCTGCACTCACACCACACTTGTCCCCGCTGTTCCAGGACAGGGAGGAGAAGCAGAGTGAGCCGACGCCCCGCGTCACACCTGCCAACCGCTGCTCCCCCCGCGGGCACAGCTGGCCCCTCGGAGGGGTCTTCCTCGGCTGCCTCCTTCCCCACATCCCAGGAGGGGGTGTGATGACAATGGTGGCGATTTTATTTTTTTTATTTTTTTGCCGCTGATTTGCTGGGATCCCTTTTCTTTCCACTTCAAGCTGGAGGATCGGCGTGCTGGCCTCCTTCTGCCATGCCACACAGCATAGTGTTATACAAGCAAAGAGTTTTGGCTAAAATCCAAAAAACATTACCCAGAAAAAAAGGCAAACTGTGAGTAATACCCAATCGTGTTTGTTCTGTGAAGAGACTCGGAAGTGGCTGTGGGCTGTCCGAGTTACGATCCTTTCCTTTTTGTTCTTTTGCTTTTAACGTCCCCCTTTTGTACACCAACTGGTATTTTTGCTAATGTGACAATTTCATCAGATGAAAAAGTTAATAAACAAAATGGCGACTCCGATGTTTAGCAAGATCACCATGGCTACCAGGATGGGAGCTGAGCCCTGGAACAGAAGGAGAGAGGAGGGATGAGCCTGGTCTGCAGTGCTCTCTCTCTGGCCATACCCACCCCCCAGTCCCAGCCCAGAATAGGAGATTGGAACCAAACGTCCAACTCTTCAGAGCAGGAAGCCCTTCAGGAGTCAGGCCTAAGGAAGAGGCTGCAGTGCCCCCTGGTCTGCAGTCACCGCCCTGGGAACTCGAGCACTCTGGCTGCTGCCCGCCCCCCAGGTGCCCCGGGTCTCCCCGTAAGTACACACCCCACACCCGGCTCTGCACAGCTGGGACTCAGACACTGCCACTGGATTTCAGCTGCAGCCCACCCAGAGCGGCCCCTATATTCAGCCTGGGATCCCCAAACCGCCAATGGGAGAACCTCCAATAGGCCTCTGAACACATCTCCCTCGGTAGAACCCACCTTCCTGGGAGCGGCTCCAGCTCTGCTAACCACCTTCCCTGGCAGCCCGCCTCCCTCGCCAGCAGGAAGGAGCGCTTGTCCTCTCCCGCCTTTCCTGGCGCCCAGCGCCTCGGCGGAGACCGCATCACCTGGGCTCCTGGAACCCAGGCTCTCTGGGCTTGTCCTCGTGAAGCCTCAGGGATGGGCGCAGGGCCTGCCCCCTGGACAGGGTTAGGGCCAGCACCTGGGGCCTCTGCTGGGGCTCCCCTCCACTCCCCTGTCCCGGTGTCCCCAGCTGCCCCTCAAGACCAGGCACTGGTCTGGCACAGGAAGTACCAGAGCCCAGCTGGGAGCCTGCACCTCTTCCCAAGGGAGCTCCATTTTAAAGCAGCCTGATTGGCCAGCAGGGTAAGTGGGATAGCCACGGAACCCGCCCTGCGTCTCCACCCCTGCCCATCATCCGGCTATCCCAAAATAACCACATCTGCACACAAGTGCACATGGGGGGCACACATCAGGGTTCTGCTACGGACCCCTAGAGCCCCCTGCCTTCTCCTCGCCCCAGCTGTGGCGGCCGTGGTCCCCTCCTCAGCCCTCCAGGAGCATCTGATGTCCCCGCCCGCTCCTCGTCCAGTCGCACGTACGTGCAGCTGAACGTGCACACACTTTTCCGGCTGCCAGAATGAGGAAAGTGGAGTTGAGGCAGCTGGCACTTAGGCCCCGGGGGCTGCTCTCCAGGGGGGTGGAGGGGATTGGGCAGGGAAGACGGAAGCATTTTAGGAACCAGCCCACCAGCAAGAAGACATGCTTACAGTGATTTCAAGGGGAAGCAGAAGTGACCTGGAGGGCCAGCAGCCTGTCTGCTGATAGGAAGCTTCTCTCCCAAAGGGACAACATCCAGATGAGGAACGGGACTCCTTGGGGACGGGCAGACCCTGCCCCTGCCCTGCAGCCGCACTGAGTCCCCGGGGGCCATCTGGATGGATGCAGGTGTCAGCTCTGCACGCCCACGAGGCAGGCCCCCAGCGTTCCTCTGGGACACGTGGGGCTGTGGCACGCGGCACCCATCAGCAAGGGCGGGAGGCCCGTAGGCTGACACTGGTCCAGGCGGGATCGTGTGGGGCCACACAGGCATCAGCCTGGGGTGTAGGTCTGAAGTGTGTTCCCCTGGCCCTTTCTGCTGCCGCTGCGCCAAGGGACCAAGCGTGTCCTTTTAGGCGGAAGCCGCCTGACAAAGGGTCCCAGGAGGTGCCTCTGGGTGCAAGAGGGTCCTGCCCAGGTTGCCTGTTCTTTCCTCTAATCCATCGCCTCGGGAGTAGTGCTTCTAGGTGGGTTTCGCACTGAGACACACGGTCCTCACTCCTGAGCAGCACAGTCCCCACGGGGCCTGATCAACCTGGATTACAGCCCCATCAGAGCCACTGACCCCACAGGCCAGAGCCTCATTCCAACAAACTCCCCGAGTGCCCTGCAGCGCCATACTCTGAACCGCGGCT